CCACCACCACCACCCACCACCCACCTACCATCCACCCGCCACCACCTACCACCCACCACTACCACCCACCTGCCACCACCCACCACCACCAGCTACCCACCACCCACCCACCACCCACCGTCTCCACTTTCCACCACTGTCTTCCGCTGCCACTTGCCATTTCTCACTTTTTTTCTATATTTTTAAAATTTTTTAAACATTTTGTTAATTACCAAACGCGTTTGTAGTTTATGTTTTTCTAAAAATAAACAAAAATCAGTTTATAAAATTTTTGTAAATATAAACTGAAAACGTAAACGTTACCAAACACACCTGTAAGTATTTGATAATTACTGTTGGTTTACACAATTTTTTTGAAAATTGATTTTTTTTTATTTTTCATATTTTTTAATGATTTTTTTAAATATTTTACTTATTATTATTTTTAGTTTTTAGATATATTTAATGTAGATACACTTAAAAAGTATAAAATTTGTGAAAAAAAACTTCAAAAGATTCACCAAATACAAAAACTATATATCAAAAATTAAAAATTCAATACATGTTCATATTTTGTTGTATTCAATGAATTTTTTAAAGATTTTTTTCCGAATTATATATTTTTTAAGTATATCAAGAATGAGTTGACCTAAAAAGTTAAAAAAGAAAATCACTAAAAATACAAAATACAAATTGAAAGATCAAAAAATGTATTTGAAAACTCCAAATCAAGCAGAGTTCTTCTATGTTTGGGTGTTCATTCAATCAATGATATGTTGAGATTTTATTCTCAATATTTTTTTATTAATCAACAAGTATGGAGAATGATCTTACTTTCGGTATTCATCTTTGAATCAATGGTCCCTAAGATCAGTATTCTACTCTTATCCTACTCTTACTATGCATTTCCGGCAGCATCATCTATGTCATATTTTTTCAACTCTTTCTACTAGTAAAATCTTGTGTTCCTCATGATAAGATCATTCATTTTTTCCATTAGCTATAGACATTTGTTTTAGTTTTGTTTCTAACTAATACAGTATGTTACTATTACCATGACACCACAAACTCAACAATTGTATGAAAATCATTTATTCTCAGAGTAAAATCAACACGAATGAAACATTTTCCCCATTCTTTAATAATTTCTATGAGTGATACTTGTTAGTATTTGATGTATGATAATTTATGAGCTAATTTTTTTTTTCTTTCTCTTTAAGCTCTTGTGAGATCAGTTTTTTGCTTTGAGGCAAGCTCTTTTATGTACAATATAACTACTTGAGAGCATAAACCAAAACACATAACCATAACAAAACTAGATAGAGAATGGTATATAACTTAAGGGGGAATTACTGGACAGTGACGCAAAAAAAAAAAAAAAAAAAGAAACAAAAAAAATTATGAAAATATGGGAATGCAAGCGAATTGGTGGTGGGGTGTAAGTGAAAAGTTATAGGACTACAAGTCTCACTTGTACCCCTCCATATTTGTGTTTTTTTTTTTATCTGTCTAACTGTTAAGTAATTCTCTCAAAACTTAATTAGTTATAATTATTTGATGACAACACCACAAGAAATAATTTAAATAAGTTTTAAAAAAATAACTATTGAGAAGTATAGAAAAAATTTAGTTACTTTTTAATTATCAATTTTTAAAAATTAAACCAAAACATGTCCTAAGGGAAGGGTTTTTTGAGAACACTGGGCTCGCCATTGATTTACTTTCTCTTCAATCAATCAAACTGTAATTTAAATAATAATAATAATAAAAATAAAACAAAATTAAGTCAACATCCTATCTGAGTAAAAAATCAATATATAGTGATATCACATCAATACATGAACAACAGTAATTTCTTGAGTCCAGTTTCTACCTAGTGCTAAAAAAATAAGAGTAAGGTCAAGTTTGGCATATCTCAAATAATTTATCTTTTTATTTTTTTATCTTTTTTTTATTATATCACTTCTTTATTTTTCTGTACATCTTTTCGTAAAAAGACAAAAAATGCACTTATTTAGATCATTCTAAACAATCCCTAAATTACAGATACATTGTTTAATAATTTTTTTTTAAAATTTACAATTTTAAAAATTATAAATATTTTATTGTAAGAATTTTTATTTAACAAAATTAATAGAAAAAAATACTTAACTATTTTTTTAAAACAAAATGGAAAAATTATGCAAATAGTCCCTGTAGTATACACGATGTGTCAATTTGATCGTTGTAGTTTCAATTTGCTCGATTTTGTCATTTAATTTAATAGATTGTGTCATTTTAGTTCAATAAATAACGATTGTTAAGTTAATTTAACGGAAAGTCAAACAATGTGTCAATTTGGTCCCTGTATTTTTCACAATGTGTCAATTTAGTCTCTATCAAAATCGAGAAAATTGAGACTACAAAGACCAAATTGATACATAGTGTAAAGTACAGGGACCAAATTGACACATTGTTTGACATTTCGTTAAATTAACTGAGCAACCGTTATTTATTGGATTAAAATGACACAATCCATTAAATTAAGAAGCAAAATCAAGCAAATTGAAACTATATGGACCAAATTAACATAATGTGTAAACTACAGAGACTATTTGTGTAATTTATCCTAATAAAATTATGAAAATTATTAATTAAAATATGTTTATGATATTATTAAAATATTAATTAATTTAATAATTTATTAATAAAATAAATCATTTATTATACTATTAAAAATTTAAAACAGCGGAATGTAATTCATATTTTCTATTTGTAATTTAACCCCCAAAAAAATAAAAAATAAAACGCAGAAGCAAATAGAAGACCCTTCCCCACCACCAATGAAGCCCTCAGGCCACCACCCTCCGCCACCCCGTCTCCCCTTCCTTAGTCGTTGCCCTCACTGCTTCTTCTTCTTCTTCTTCGCCGCCGCTGCAAACCTTAGAATCTTTCAAGAAATCCAAAAATGGAGAAGGCAATGGAGTCTTTGAAGGTATCCGATGAACAATCTGAGATAGACTCTGCTTCTTCAAATTTGTTTTTTTTTAATTTATTTTTCTATCGATTTGATTTTCCTTCAATTCACTGGCAATTTTGTCTCTAATCTACATATGCATACATATTCGTGTTAATTTGTGGATTTTGTTGAGTTTTTGATGATTGCGAGCATAAACCAAAACATAAAAGGCACATATATATATATTATAATAACCTATCTCATAATTTATAAGTTCTAAATATAAATTTAAAATTATCATAATTATCTCATAATTTTTGTATTAAGGAGCAGTAAGAGTGATATTGAGATTATCGATATATCTATATATTTTATAAAAGAACACTTCATTTTTTTCCTTATTTTCCAGATGTGGGATTATCAAATAAAAGTTAACCAATTAAGATTTTTTTAACCAATAATGCTACATACCACTAAATTCCTACCACTAACACCACCACTAAAAGCCAAAAAAAAAAAAAAACAAAAAACTAAGACACAAAACACATGTGGCAGTGGATGGGACCCACTGCCACATCCCTAGTGCAACCATTAATTAGTGGTCTGCATCATTTTTCATCATTAAATATACGATAGAATTATATGGTATGATATGTATCATTTTTTGATTTATTATACACCTAATGATGTATTCCTTCCGAATTTATAAATAAAAAAAAATATTATGGTGCGTAACTTTTCTCAACAGATAAATGTAAAACAAATACTAAGATAATTCTCACATCTAAAAAAATACTAAAATAATTCACTGAACTAATGAAGAAGTAGAAGAAAATACATATATATATATACAAATGACTAATTTTATTAATACATAAATCATACTCGCATGACAAATGATCAGTTTTATCAATACATAAATCATATTCGCATAGCAAATGACCAATTTTATCAATAAGTAAATCATTAAGTAAATTAATAATTTTTAATGATATAAAAAATATTTTTCAGTTAACCATTTTGTTAATAAATAAATTATTAAGTAAATTAACGGTTTTCAATAATATGAGAAATATTTTTTAATAAACAATTTTGATAATTTATTATTGCATTAGAGAATAAATTTTTTTCCCCTGAGTATTGTGTTAAATTAAAGTTTATAAAAAATGAGAATTGTAAATTCTAGTATTATATGATCGATTCATATTTTAAAAAAACCTTATGGGTGTATTTGTAATTTGTTAAAAAATAAAAGATTTATATTTCATAATTGATCAAGAATATTTGCGTAATTACGAAAAAAACTTGTTTTATAATTGACCAAGAATGTTTGCATAATTACGGAAAAACCTGTTGCATAAGTGACCAAGAATGTTTGCTTAATTACGAAAAAACATTCACTCAACATATAAGCCACCATTAGTAATTATTCAAAATGAAAGGGCAAAATCGGAAAGAAAAAATGAATCTCAAACAACTAAGCGGTTCTTATATATATAGATATAGAAACTTGAATTATTTATAAATATTTGATGACAATCCACAAGTACAACCACTTTCATGCCTTTTCTAGCTCAACAATTGTAGATTCAGAAAAGAAAAGAAAAGAGGGGAGAGGGGGGGAGGAGAAGAAAAGTGAGGGAAAGAAAATTCTAGAACATCAAAATAACCTACAGATACAGCTTTAGTTAAGAATCATTTCTTCTTCCATCTTAATGCCTTTGTCTCCTAACCCCAAGAAATAAATTTCTAATCTTGTGTAGTTTATTTAGAACATCTTTTACACTCATTCTCTCACTCGGCATTTGAGCAGAACATGAAACTCCAATTTGAAAGACTAGTGCTAGGCAAGTCCCTAGTTTAGAAATGTTGATTGTACTACTTTGCATGCTCTTACTTGACTCCTCTTCCATTTCCAATATGATTTGGGGATCAACGATCTGCATTACTTTCTCCAGAAGACACATTTTTACATAGCTATGGAGGTTTACATTACCTGTAAACATGTTACTAGTTGGTCTTTTTCCTGTGAACATTTCTAGTAGTAACACGCCATAACTGTACATGTCACCTTGAATTGATGCCTCCTCACCCATACCATACTCTGCAATATGAAATAGTGAAAAAAAAAAAAAAACCAAAATTTTTTAATTTTGGTATGATTGTTGAACTTGCTGAAAGAAAAAGTTCAACATTTCAAAAGATAAAATTATCTCAAGGGTTAAAATCTATGTTCAAATACCATAGGGGTAGGACAATGGTTGATTTAATTTGTTGTGGTAGCTATACAAACAATATGGCAAAGTCAAGGAAAGCCATCTCTAAAACATGGCTTAATTTCTATACAATCTCTTAATTGGATTTTAGTTCACCTCAAGATAATAATATAACGTAACTAAATAATATTTCTTGATCAATTTCAACGTAAGCAATAAACAATTACCTGGGGCAACATAGCCAATTGTTCCTCTAATCCCAATTGAACTTGATTGCTGATGAATAGAAATTCCATTGGTTGCTGAAAAAATCTTTGTCAAGCCAAAATCACTAACATGGGCACACAAGTCACCATCAAGAAGAATATTACTTGACTTTAAATCACAATGAATAAAAGCCATTTCACAATGGTGGTGAAGATAATCCAATGCATATGCCACATCAATAGCAATGTTTAGCCTTTGAACGAAGTTCAAGTTCTTAGGTTCATGTTGCACTAAAAGACTTGGGTGTAACCAATTTTCTAAGCTACCATTTTCCATGAACTCGAAGACCAAAGCCTTGAAGTCGTTGCCTTTAAAATCAATGCTTGAATTTATTGGTTTTCATTACCTTTCAGTTTTGAAAACCAATTACAACCTTTAAAAGGTTATGGTCCCTATGTAAACATAAATTTCAGAACATAATCCAATGTCAAGTTCTTAGGTTCTCTTAGGTTCATGTTGCACTAAAAGACTTGGGTGTAACCAATTTTCTAAGCTACCATTTTCCATGAACTCGAAGACCAAAGCCTTGAAGTCGTTGCCTTTAAAATCAATGCTTGAGCAAGCTGTAATTATCTTGACAAGATTTCGATGGCGAATATTCTTCAATGCTTCACATTCTGTAACAAAACTCTTGTTTGCTCCACGTTCATGTAGTTTGAGCACCTTCACAGCAACAATTTGTTCATCGGAGTTGAGAATCCCTTTATAAACAGAACCATAGCCTCCCTCACCAATTAAGTTGGATGGAGAGAACCCATTTGTTGCTTGAAAAAGTTCTCCAAAAGATAGTAGTAAATATTGGTTTTGTAAAGGCGAGGCTAATTTGACTTGCTGTTTTGACCTTTTGTTTCGATAAATAATGGCTAAAATGCACAATGATAATAGAACAATAGTGGGAGTAACTATTAGAACTATTACTCTACGGTTGAAAGGTCTTTTCCTTTCATTTAAGACTTCCATCGAGCATGCAGGCAATTGCAATACTTCAATTCCTCCACAAAGCTTACCATTTCCAACAACTGAGATGGCACTAATGTTAGTGAAAACTCCTTCATTTGGAACTTCACCATCAAACATATTGTAGGAAAGATTAAGAAATTGAAAGAAATGAAACTCGCCTAAAAACCTTGGAATTTGTCCAGATAAGTTATTCTGAGAAACATCTAAGACCTGAATGCCTTTCAATTGTTCCAAGGATGTTGGAATTGTACCTTCGAAAAGGTTACCATCGATGTAGAGAAATTCTAAAACTTCACAATTGCCCAGAGTAGCGGGGATTTCTCCAAATAGTTTATTTTTTGATAGATATAGTCCACCCACATTTTTCAAGTTACCCACTTCTTGTGATAGTAGTCCTGTTATGTAATTTTGGCCTAAGGACAGAATAATAAGGGAAGACAGACCAAAGATTTGATATGGTATTGCCCCTGTGAGATGATTGTAATCAAGATGAATTTGTTGTAGATTGGTACAATTGCCTGAAGAAATAGGAATGCTTCCCTCAATCATGTTTGTTGATAGGTCAAGTGTACCAAGCCTGCTCAGGTTTCTAATAGACGATGGAATCTCTCCAGAGATGTTATTTTTGTCAACCATGAGGATTTCCAACATGGAGAGTTTTCCAATGGAATTTGGAATACTACCAGTAAGCATGTGATCATCTAGAAAGAGGTATTGCAAATGTACAAGGTTTCCAATACCAAGAGGTATGTTTCCAGATATATAGTTGTCTTGTAGAATGAACCAAGTGATCTTGGTGGAGAGATTTTCAATAGAATGAGGCAAGAAACCCTTAAATTGATTTGAAGCCAAAACCAAAATTCGGAGATTGGAACAATTGGACAAAGAAGTGAGGAAGCTCGTTAATTCATTAACTTGGTTTGTTCCAAGTGAATTGTTATTAGCAGCAAAAATTTCTAAAGCATCAAGTCTTCCCAGACTTTTAGGCATGGACCCAGTAAAAGAATTGCTGCCAAAATCAATTGCACAAGTTTTGTAGCATTCTCTATTGACGATGGAATTTGGCCATAGAATTGATTGGAGTCAACATAAAATCCTAGTAAATTTGGAAGGGTCAAGCCTAAATCTGGTGGTAGAATTCCATGCAATTGGTTGTCATTAATAGAGAAGAAATAGATTGATGAGATATTGTAAAGAGAAGTACGAACCATACCGGACAAATTGTTCACTGATAGCTGAAGATACTCCAACATCGAAAGCTGCCCAAGTTGGGAGGGAATGCTTCCCTCTAGATTATTGTACGGTAGAGAAAGCTTCTGTAGATTGGAAAGGTTGCCAATTGAAAGTGGGATAGCTCTAGAGAGATGATTTGCTGCAAGAATCAAGTAGAAGAGATTGGACAAGGAACCCAGCTCCGTAGGAATTTTACCTCCTAGATTGTTACCACCCATATGGATAACTCTCAAGTTCGAACAATGAGCCAAATTGGTAGAAAATTCACCTTGGAAAGAGTTATTCAAAAGCAGAAGATACTGCAGACGAAACAACTTGCCAATTTCCGGTGGGATTTCGCCATGAAAACTATTGTTACCGAGATCAATCCTCCTAAGGAAGGTGAGGTTCCCAATGTGGGGAGACACAGAACCCACCAATGCAAGAGATGATATGTTTAGGACTGTCACACGTTGATGTCGATGACCGCATGAGACTCCTTGCCAAATGCAAAAGTGAATTGAATGATTCCATGAGCTTAAGGCACCCAGTGGATCTCCTGTTATCAAATCTTTGATTGCAAGTAGTGCCTGATGGTCTGTCTTGTTTGTGAGAATGAAACTGGGGTTGCCCTTGGCAATGGTAATCAATTCAAGAGAGTTGATGAAAAAGAAAATGAAACATAGACAGCTGAGAAAACTTCTAGTATTTGTTTGCTCCATTTTTTCCTTTCAGCAATTCCATTTTGCTGAGGTGAGTAAAGAGCGGTAATTTGATGAATTATTCCATGTTCTTTACAAAATTCACCAAAATGTGACTCATTTTCACTACCTCCATCACTTCTTAGTTTTTTAATTTTCTTAGCAAGTTGATTTTCAACTTCATTCTTATATTGAATGAAAGTTTCCAAAACTTCATCATTGGTTCGAATTAAATAAACATAACTATATCTAGTATAGTCATCTATGAAAGTGATAAAATATTTTTTCCCACCTCTAGTTTGAATTGATTTAAAATCATAAATGTCACTATGAATTAATTCAAGTGGATCCGTACTTCTTTCAATTGTATGAAAAGGAGTCTTGGATAATTTTACCTCAACACAAATTTCACATTTATGATTTAAATCAATGTCAAATTTAGGTAAACATTCCATATTAATTAATCTACGCAAAGATCCATAATTAACATGTCCTAATCTATCATGCCACAAATTTGCAGACACAAGCAAGTAAGAAGAAGATGTATTATTATTAATAATAGAGGGAACAACAGTAATTACATTTAGTTTGAAAAGGCCATCAGACATGTAACATTTTCCTACATTCATCCCATTTTTGGTAAGTACAAACTTGTCACTTTCAAAAACTAGCCTAAACCCATTTTTACTCAACAGAGATACGGAGACTAGATTCTTGTGAATGTCCGATACATGCAGCACATTGTTGAGAGTGAGTTCCTTTCCAGATGTCATCTTCAAAATAATCTTTCCTTGTCCCTCAACTTAGTTGAGGAGTTATCCATAAAAAGTAAAAAAAATTCCAAAACCCAAGGGGGGCACGTGACCCCCTTGGACCCTCTATGCCTCCGCCATTGCTCTCAACTATCCATTCAACTTCTTTTTCCCAGACACATATTAACTTCTGTTCACCTCATAATTGTTTAGATTAGTCCACAATATATGTGGGTCAAATACAGTTATTAGGTTAGTTTAAATATATATTCGAGTTAGGATAGGAAATCCAATATATGTATATGGCTAAACTGTTCATGCAGGTTTATCTATCCCGCAACTATAGTGTTCAAATTGCATTTTTTAACGGGTTTTTCAGGCTTTGGCTAATCAACAAGCTAGTATGAGCTTGCCCTATTTAAAAAATTAAAACCACATCCCATCCATAAACCCAAATCTTACTGGCCAAAATTAAACCGAATAGGGTTACACATTTTTCATTACACTAACATTATTAAGTTACACATTTTTCTTTCACATATTTTTAATATTTTCATTATTATTGTTAATATTTTTTTTTTGGTTTACTTTCAAACGTAATCCAAGTATTTTGATATATCTATATATATATATATTTTAACATCTCATATAATCAAATAACAATCAAGTACCTACAAGTGGAGAGAAAAAAATAAAACAGAAAAAAAATAAAAAGTTTAAACATGAGAATAAAAAAACTAAACTAAACATTAGACTTACCCATACGGGTTCTTACGGGCCAGGTTTATGGGCAGACTCGGGTTGCAAACTTTTGCCCAAAATTCTAAATCATCTTTTATGAGTTGTGACGAGCTAGCACTCAAGCGAATTGGGACGGGCCATGGGACGGGTGGACCGAGTTGGGTAATATTGGGTTTTTTGTTCGCGAGTCATTTTTGGACCCCTAGAAAGAGATTAAGAGAGTGGTGAGGGAAAAATTGGAGATGTAAGGGGTGAGAGAAAAAATACTATGGACACTAGGATGAGCAAGGGCTCAACTATCCTTGAGAATGGGATTTGGGTAGTAGTGTGGGCTTTTTGAGCATTTTTTGACATCACACATGTATTCACTACTTTATTTATAGTGAAATTTCTCTCTCCTGTAAATGTAGGCAATTTGGGCAAACCACATAAATCTGTGCGTGGTTATTTTTCTCTTTGGTGTATACGTAGGTGTGTGTTTCTGTTTACATTGGTGAGATATGGAACAAATCCCAACATTAAAAAAATTGAAAAACCAAAAAATTATTTAAAAAATTAAGTTGCCAAATGAAGTCTTAAGAATATCTTAATTGCTCTCACTTTTTCGTTAATGAGTAAACTCTCCACACCTGTCCTTCGCCGATTTCGGAATCAATTACCTAATGTCAGTTTAATCAGAGTAGGATGAGGGGAAACCTCGGGTGTGCGCACTGAATCCACAACGCACACACCATTTAAGTCAGAGAGTGCAGTAGCCAGGATTCGACCCCACACCCAAACTCTAGATACAATTTGTCCAACGCTTAGAGGGCCGTCTTAGGATCACTGCACCAAACCCTTGTGAATTGGCTCTGGGCAGTGTAGAACCTATGACGTCAATTTTATGCCCCAAAGCCTTACCAAGACCTTACTTGCCGGCTAATGAATGGAGGAAATTCACATATACTCTATCAAGTTGAACTTGCACCGTAATAAATAAATATATATATATATATATATATATATATATATATATTTCAAAATATAATTTTCATATGGAACTTAACAAAAATATGTATTCAGAAAAAATATTTTGAAAAGTAATCTAAGCACTACAAGAAAAAGCATATTCGGCGACCAAATTTCTCGACTAACAAAAATTTGGTCACTGAAAGTATAGCTTTCAGTGACCAAAACAGCATTAGTAGCCAAAAGTAAAGCTTTTTGGCAACTAAACAATTTTAGTAGCCAAAAGTCTATAATTGGCATCTAAAAATAAGTTTGGTCGCTGATTATATGGGTTTTATTGACTAAAAAATTTTAGTAGCCAAAAGTCTACAATTAGCGACAAAAAAATAAGTTTAGTTGCCAAAAGTGGTCATTTTTAGTGACTAAAATTATTTTGGTTGCTAAAAGTTAATTTTTTATTTTTATTTTGCTACTAAATAGTTTATTTTACATAAATTATGTAATAAAATAATTATTTTTATACATATACTTTTGTATAAATATGGGTGTATGTACTATATAAATAATATATGTCACATATATAGTCATGTGGTGCTATAGAGGCGTAGTGGGAAGAGTGTGGTGCATAAAGTTTATGGTGCAAGAGGTTGGTGGTTTGAGTCTCCGCAAGAGCAGATCAAATTGTTCTACAACGAATTTTTAAATTTTTATTTTTTTTTCACGTTCGAAGCTTTTGGCGACTAAAGGTGTTGGTTGGCGATTCCTTGACTATTGGTGACTAAAACATTGGTCGGTAAATGTATAATTTTAAAAAATATAATTGACTATTGGCGGCCCCAAAATTTTGGTCGCTTCAGACTTGCTTTTTGGAGACCAAAGGTTTTTTGGTCAACAAAACCCTCCAAGACCTTTTTCGACAGGGTTTTGGTGACAAATGTAGTGACCAAAATTTTTGGTCGCAGAATGTCATTGGCGACCAAAAAACAGACAATTGGCGACCAATATTTTAGTCACTAAAAGTGACTTTTTTTGTAGTGAAACATAAAGTACATGTATTTAAAACTGATTTTTTCTTGCCTTTTGATATACTAGTTAAGAGGTGCACGTGCGTTGCACGTGACATATGAATTGATTTATAAATGAAACACAAGTCTTCATTTGAATTGTTTTATCAGATAATCTTATATTAATATATTAATGTGGGCTTCTGTTTTATATAGTGATTTTGTGCTTAGCTTACATGTAACGCCCCGAAATAACCCAACCCAAATTAGGTACATTAACCAACATCCATTAAGAATTAATAACAAAACTCCAACCTTTATATAATTAATCAATAAGGTTTGCACAAAAGTCCCACATGCGAATTATACATTCAATGAAATGAAAATACATGAATTTATGGCATGTAGAACATCAAATCCCAGGAATAAATAAAATGCCCCTTAAAGGCTTACATGTTCCAAGGCTTAAGTCCGGTTACACAAAAATGGTCTCTCAGATCCATACATGAATAGCCTTTGGCTAGCAAAATAAATCACAACAAAATAGAGTCATTTACTCTTCACAAAATATGTCCACGCCCTTAACTTGGCGGGATCACCACATCTTTTCCTGCACCAAAATCCCATAGGGGTGAGCATAAAGCCCAGTAGAGAATTCTTAACAAAATATATACTGTTATGCAAAATTTCTAATATTAAATGCAAATGCCATGCGATGTCAATTAAAAGAGGAATTCATTTACATGCCTTTATAAAAGTCACCATGTTGAACAATAGCTTGAAATCTCAACAATTCTGAAATTTACAATTTTATTCATTGGGGCGGTAAAAATGACTCAGGTAATCCTTAGGTTGGTGTCTGTAAGTAGGCATATCTAGCACTACCAAAAATCCCATTTTACCGGTTGCTAAACGGAAGGGGAGTGGTACCTCTTCCGCGCGTGTTTTCGGTCTTTCACCTCGGACACTTAGTCCAACTTAACCAAGTTCATCTACACCAACTATCTGGACTTACCAATGTATTTACCCAAAACATTTCAATAGTTCTCAATTCTCAATAATTTTTCTCAATGCAAGTTTCAAATCCCAATTCAATATTTATAACAAGTGATATAATGAAATGTCAATGCCATTGTTACCCATGCAATGCCACAATCATCTATGCTATGTAGTGATTAATCGTGCAATGTATCCTCTAACCATCTACATAATTTCCCCACAATTGTACCATTTGCGATTACAATTTCCACTTCCTTTGTCCAATACATTCATGTATAATTCATGAACTTTTACACCTATCCAAATGTTCCAACATTTCCACAACTAATATGGTCTCAACATTTGTCGTTTCAAGATTTATGCACATACCTACATAAACAATAGATTCCAAGGAAATTTTCTAATTTCACATATACTAAGAAATTTGACATTTCACATCTATTGTCATGAAACCTCCATTTGAATATTTATTTAACACAAACAAAATCATAATTTCTCAACATCCAACAAAACCTCCATATTTTCTAGGTTTTTCACCCAAACAATGCATTCCTTTATTTCTTGGTAAAAATCCCAC